TGTATTTTGCAAGAAAATAGAATATAAAATACATTACATCCAATTCCTCATCTTCCTTTACATACATAATAGTAATCATTTATTAATTTACGGGTTAATGAATTTCTTCAAAGCAATAAAAAAATTGTCCTCTCCATCCTAAAACACAGATAATATGTAAAAATTATGAAAAATGTCTCACAAATAATTTCTTTTAAGTCCTAAAATCATAAAAAACTATTAATGTTTATTGTTTGAAAGCCTTTTTCACTAGTGGGGTTATCTATCTGTCACTCGCAGGGTTGCCAAGTCTAACGACGATCACGTCCTGTGATGAAGGGTGCGACATGAATCTTTTACATTTGCTGGTTTTGAATTTAAAGTAGGAATACAAACATAGTACTTATGATAGTTGGAGCTAGACTGATAACACTTCTTGAAGAATATTTGAAAAATGTGAACACAGTCATGGTCTGTTGTCAAATTGCAAATGAAGTATCTGAAAATTCTTACATACAGTGGACGTTCGTCATAGTTTACTATCCTGATTATGATCATTTTTAGCAGAAGTGTTGTATCATCAAATTGATGAACAAATATAAGAAATCTCTTATATACCTACATACAGAGGCTTTTTCATGTAAATTTACTAGGTACCATGATTATAAGCATCTTTGTTGGATTGTTCGATCCGGAATGGGAAAGATCTCCTATTTATGAAAATATTTTTGGTATCATCTAACCGTTGCAATCAGTGCACAAAAACTGTGACATATGATTTATAGCATAACCCGCGGCCCTATCAATACAAATTTTACATACAGGTCGCCTAGCCGTAGGGATGCAGTGGTCGGGATGAATATCACGGCAGCAACTGATGACTTGGGCATGTCTGGTAACAACGTATGAAGTGCAACTCGCTAACTTCACAAATTTGAAGATGTTGTACAATTTCTTTGAAAATGGTGAAAGATATGTCTGATATGGCAGGGTAATGTCGCAGCCAAATGGCAGTCACTCTTTCTGACACAGTCCGGATCGAAAGATGACGATACTCGTGAAATGTATTGATACTTCTAAATATAGGATCCTATCGATGCAACGATTCTGGGAAAAATTCCACGAATACTCTTATAGAGCATAGTACAGTATATTTCAACAGTTGATGGAGTTACTCCACTGGGACCAGGGGGGTGAAACGGGATATTAATGCACAATCTGGAAACCATGTCGCACCCTCACAAAATGGCCACACAAGTCACCGTGTTGTCATTGAATAGCATGGCATTAAACCTTCTCAGAGTAAATAATCAAATCCAAGCGGATAACCAAAATTTCCGTATTATGTACCGCGGTTATAATATGGTTCAAGATGACACACGGGATGATGACGTCAGTTACTCGAATCGATTGAACGCGTTGGTTTTAACCGCGGTTTGTTGCAAGTTGTTTATTTTAGAAAAGCGCGTATATAATTTCTGATTATTTTTATTATCACTTAATAATCGATGCTTTTTCGTCTACAACGGGGTATGGAAAGTTGAAAAAAGAAAACTTTCATAATATTAATGGGAGGAATGTTTTTTTTTTCAGAAAAAAATGTTTACCGATGGAACCATGGCTTTGTAGCTATGATAACTTTCAATTCTCTAAACTTTTCCGCATGTCAAAGAAAATATTTATTGATTTAGCAGAAATGATGAAAAAGCGATGAAAAAAAGATATTAACAAAACCGTATACAGGTGGACATCATCCAGTGAGTTTATATGGCCATATTTTAATATTCTTGTGGTATATTGCTATACAGAATACTTAGTTAAGCGTAGGAACTAGATTTGAAGTGTCCCCAACAACAGTAATGATTATAAATAACAAGGTGCTCTCTTATGCTAAAACTGAAGTCAGCCTGTATCAAGTTTCCCAAAAATGAAACTGAAGTACAATAAAAATATCCAATACTCGGCAAAATTCTAACTTGTCACATGTCAAATAATAACCAGAAATATAAAACTACTCGTGAGTTGGGTAAATACCACAATTTTGCGGTGATAACTATGACATATAACAGCTGATTCATGACGTCACGGATCTTATAACCAAACTGATAACCACACTCGCTTGAACGGATCGGTAAATACCAATCCAAAATGGTAAATACCATTTCCATTTGGTTATCCGCTTGAATTTGATTTATGTTTTGTGACTGGGACCAAGGGTTGACAGATCCCACACATGTGTCACTCGATGAGTCTTGAAATGCAATAATCATCTGTATTCAAATAATGTCTAATATAAATATAACCTAGAATGTGTACTCGTGAAAAAAGAAAAATATGGCAAATTTGTAGTTTTTTCGCAGGTTTTAGGTTTGCTGGTAGTTTTAAGGCATTTAATTGGGAATTTCTTAATCGCTGTCAATATAGTGTTCCTGAACAACGAAAAATATTCAACTTTATGGATGTATGGATATCAAAAAACCTGAATGGTTTTGTGGCAATATCAATCTAAGGTGCCATAATGGTTCTGATGAACGGCAAGTAAATGGATGAATGTTTGGAAACGAGCAATATCTTTTGGTAGAGCCTGTCATCAAGTAGGTGCTTAATGGCTATCTGCAAGAGGTTTATAGGACAAAACACCCAGTTGAATCAGTAAAATCGCATATCAAATGAATAAAATAATATAAACATGAATAAAAACTCAACAATAGTAATTAAAACATGAATTTAATTCAAAAATCAAACATATCTTTAAATTTTGACTGAATTATATGTAATTTCTTAATATTCAATAAGCTGGTGATGTTTCAATGACAAGCAGTCATCTCATACTTTGATAGTATTTTGTTTTCAACATTTCATAGCTATTGGTTGCTAAAATTTGTTGACTTGAAGCTCATTCGCTGTATTTGACGGACAGTTACCCTGTAGGTGCAGAATAACGGACTGTTAATTTGACAACCTCGAAATCGACCCTAAGTTGCGCAAAACATAAGCGTATATACATGTATAGCATTGATAGATTTGTACCAAAGACGTTATGCCATATCCTCTTTCTAAATTGATGGGCTAAAGCGACAAGGATCTAATGGGCGGAACCAAGGATTACTTCCTACGCCACTTGGTGGGTATGCATGAAAAAATAAGATTATTTTTGTATGTATATCACGAAAAATCATGGTACTCAAATTCATCGGACTGTCTGTCTTTATGTCTGTCTCACTGCCGGTCGGTCTGTCTGTCTGACTATCTGTCCAGCTGTCCATCTGTTTGTCTGAATGTGTGTTTGTCTGTCTATCGGTCCTCCAATCCTTGGCTCTTCTATAACTTGGCAAGTACCGCTCGGATTGGATGAACGTTTTACACAATGTTACTACTATGCCAAGGACGAAGAAACTTTGTCTAGGTGCTAAACCGGTCAAGAACTCGGATAATCGTCGACAAAGCTTGGATTTTTAATTTCACCCGCAACTCATCAACAACCATGGATTCAAGTCCCATTTAAAAACAAACATGAGTACTCTTATAGACCGTCGCTTATATTCGCTTGTCGCTGTCTCTCTCAGGCATTCAAGGCCCAATGGCCAATAGGAGCGCCCTAATTTAAATGTCGCGCGCTAGTGTTTGTTTTGACGATAGATTATAGGGATTTTTCATTTTGGTAGTTTCCCATATTGGGTAAATAAAAATCACATGTGAGGTCGATATCAAGATTCTCTTATTGTCCTATCAAAGGAAAATATAAAATCGGATATAAATTCTAGTAGAGCATGCCTATATGAACAGAACTGTGTACTCTGGTACAGTAAACACATGTACAACATACGAAAGTATGTATAATTAAATCCTGTCCCATATTTTAATTATAGATGCACATGTAGACGTAGTTTGTGCATTTTTAAGAAATATTGCTTCAGAAATCAAAGAAATAAGAGCATGTTACTAATTTTGGCATCCCAAGAAAGTGTAGAATATTAAGTCTTAACATGTCTAATGGTTATTATCGCTAAAAATCATACAATTTCATAAAACGTGGATCAACAAATATATGGCTAAAAATTTGGTTACATTCCCACGCGCGAAAATCATTAATCCGTATTAATAAAATAAAGGATATCCTTGTACTTGCAAATTTCGAAAGAAATCCTTTAGATAGTATTTATGATAATTTTAAGCAAATGCTTTTGCTTTTTGAGTATAAACATATCCTTCAAAGCAATGACACATAAGTAAAAGGATATACATAATATTCACCTCATACTTGGCATAGGAAGCATACCCTTCAAAAATTCTGAGTGTGGTCAGTAGCAGATTCAGCTTAGTAACGAAACGTGGGTCGAACGGTGATGGCGGAAATTGTGGATGTTAGGGATGCTAAAAGGTACAAACAAGGGCCGCTTACCTTCACTTGGTCGTAGTTGATAATGAGGAAACTCGAGGAGGAGCACTTTCATGTATTAATAAAATGAATATATGTCTACGCTATCTCGGTGGCCCTGGGTATCACCAAAGTATCGGTCAGGAACTTGGTGTTAGTCAAGCAAAGCTATCTCGGACTGTGGATACATTTATGTACAGCATAGTTGCACAGTGAAACGAATGTATCAAGTTCCTAACATACCAACCATGAACTAATGGAGGCTAAGAGGATATGGCAAGCCAAGTATAGATTTTCTACAGCAACTGGTGGACTTGATTGTACACATACAGGAATAATCTTGAAACCAAATCTCCAAGGAGGTGAATATATCAATCGAAAAGGGAAACTATATGTACTTTAAATCTCAGGCCACTTGTAAAGCCGGAGACATGTTCATAAGTGTTGATGTCAGTTGGCCTGGATCAGTGCACCTTTCCAGAATATGGAGAGATTAGATCATAGCTAATAAATAAAGCAAATGTTGTGCTACTTAGCGATGACGGATATGGTATTGAGCCATGTCTTATGAGTTCCTTCATAAATCCTACTCCGGGTGCAGAACTAAATTATAATAAGCTTTTAAAACAGGAAAGAGTTATAACTATAAAGCTATTATTATTATCTCTTTATTTCTCAGCTTTAAATGTAGGTAGCTGGTCGTTGTGCTTTTCTTCTCTGACCGGGAATGTACCATATCCTTAGGATCGAGCGTCAGCCTAAGACTTTTCTTATGATATGTGCGGTACCATATCTTGCTGCTGTTTGCAGCAGCTGCATGTTGATATTTTTCGATATTTTCTCCCTCCCGATGTTCCAATAGATTGGTGGACGTTGCGCCAGTTGCTCCTATCACTACAGGTACGATCTGTGTTTTCATATGCCACATTCTGTTGTCCCTGTACTTAAGAATCTTCTCAGATTCTTTTTCCCACAGATTGTAGTCACTGGGGACGGCTACGTCGATGATGGTACAGATGCCATTTTTGATGTCTTTAATTACTATGTCTGATCTCTTGGTTCCACAGGATGATGACGCCTTCAGATGATGTTACTTGCCGTGGGTCATGTTTTTGACAGCTACGCCATTGTCTTGACATACGACGTGGTGTAGAGCTTTTACAACTTTGTCGTGACTTGTAATATATTCTCGTTGCGCAAGTACAGGGCACTATGACATCAAATGATCAATGGTTTCGTCACGTTCGTGGCAGATTCTGGTTTTGGGATCTGTATCCCTCTTCAGGATTTTTTTTTGAGAAGTAGTTGGTCGCCATGGCCTGGTCTTGTGCTGCTATAGCCAAGTTTTCAGTTTCTCGTTTGGTCTGAGATTGTAAAAGCCACAGGATGCTGTTGTGTTTATCAATTTTAAGGGTTTTGTAGAACCTGGGTGATGTATTGCCATGCACTGGTTTGGCCATCCATCGGTTTTTTATGTCTTCCGCCACTTTCCGTTAACACTCCAATTTGTATGCCATGTGGTGTGAGGGTGTGGTGATTCCCAACTGATGAAGATAGGTAGTTGCTATTTTGGCGATGGATCTGCGCTGGGAAGAATCTTTATCGATGGTATAAACAAGTTGCATATATCTGTCATGGGTTCTTCCCAGATATCCAGCCATGTTCATTATTGTACTATTGAAAGCTGCCCCCACTTGTAGAAGGTCTCGGACACCTTCCCTTCTACTTACATACAGCCTCTCCGTGTCAGCACGTGTGTGATACATTCCATGCATTGTGAGCAGTTTTCTAGTTGCTCGGTCTAGTGCTTTTATCTCGTCCAGTTTCCATTCGACTACGTCGACGCAGTACTGCAGTATCGGGAGTGCGAGCTGTCCTAGAGCCTTCATTTTATTCCTTCCGTTCAGTTCGGTTCTCAGGATCAGCCTCACCCTCTTCTTGTATTCGCATTTCAGCTGCTCTTTTATGTTTGATGGTCGATCATTGCCCCCTCTTCTATACCTAGATATTTATATGTATCTTCTCCTTCTAACTGGCGAAAATCAGACTCGGCATGATGTTAACCTTTGCGTGCAGCTTTCCTCTTCTGCATTAGCGCACTTATCTGTTCCAAATTGCATGTGGATGTCCTTGCTGATCCTTGTGACGGTTGCGAGCTGCTCTTCCATATCAGTTTCTGATTTTCCGATGAGTTTGAGTTGATTATTATTATTTATTATTATTATATTATAATTATTATTATTGTTGTTATTGAAATATAAATTTTGGGATTTATTCACGTATTCTTTCATTCGATCTGATTTAAATCATGAAACATTTTTGTGTGTGAAAATTTAACCAGCTGGAGATTCACTGATTCTTATGAATTTTAAAAAAATATCACATGAACGTTTCTGCTTAAGGATATTTTGGCCATGTTCATGTAAGTTCCTTTCTCCAATTAGTTTCAAAATGAGTTGGCCCCTTGGCAGAAGAAAAATCTATAAATCTTATCCAAGAATCCAAGTATGTTACATATATACATTTTTGAACCTAGAGTCAAAAATTCAATAATAAAATCCCAAATTCTAACTTCCATGAGGTGCTTGGTGTGTACTATAGCTGAGGGTCACCAACTGCAGTCGTCGTTACTTAGAAAAATAATTCCCAAAGTAAGTGCCTTACTCCATAAATGTTTCTGCATGGCCGCCAGGCATTTTTATATTTGCGTATAATCATCAGGGTCTCTACAGTGCACCGCTCTTGTTATGTCAAAGTTTTTAACCGAATCTAACAAAACTCGAACAGGCCACATACATCTTATTTTATACAGGGTGACTTTGAAGTTGAGTCATTAATTTTCAGATAATGATTGTAGAAGGAAGATAAACCAAAATATGTGTGTAAAAATAAAAAAAAATTAAAAAAAAAATGTTACCTTGTTTTATAAAGTATCCTCCCGACAAGTAACTCAGTGCGGACCTGTATTTGATCGTGCGGTCTTGGAGCACCGGCATCCCCTGTGAGGTCTTAAGTCACCTGATTCACGAGCCCTTTGTACTACATTAACAAAGGCACGAGGGGTTGGTTTGGTTGCACTCGATTGGGAAACCGATTTTGTAAAGACTCCCCCCCCCCGTAAATAAGAATCATGTCCACAAGTTCAACATTTTCGTAAACATGTGCCATTTTTTATTTCGTTTGAGCCACGCAACAAACACACACAAACACTCACGCGTTACCGACTGAATCCAACTAAAAACATCGTGATAAGCGTTTCAAATTCTTTCGCTTTTTTGTTTCCGATGCGATGAACCGATGCGGATTATATCCGTTGTCGCCAAACACGAGCACATAATATTATTATTGAGACAGGGCAGTACTAAAACTTCTAAAGGGCTATAACTTTGTTACTTTAATTTTACCAGAAAAATGTTAAAGGAAAAAAACATTTCTTTTGATCAGATCTACTCACTGTTAAAATTAATGACTCAACTTCGAAGTCACCCTGTATAATCAGAAAATTGGACGACTACACTGCCCTGCCTATTCGCGTGAGAAGTAAAACATGTAGTTATACGATCGGCACTTTATCTCTGCCGCCTCGTTTCATAGCCTGACATTATGCTGACATTATACCTTTTGACATATATGTTCCTTATTGTTACTGGCGTAATAACGCAAATATGTCCTAATCTGTCATTCATTCACGTTTTGAAGATACAGCGCAACTCCCGTAATCTGTTTTATTGCTCGCAATGTGTATACATAGAAGAGGGGGACACATTATACCACAGCACGACAGAGCCTGTACTCCGGATACTTCACAAAAGGCGCACGCATGGTAGTTGGGGAGGGGGCAATATGGAAAATTATTATACAATTTACTAAGTCAAATAATTCAAATCTGCATATTTACAGTTTCAAAACGACAAAAATCTGGGATTGGAATAACTCCGATAGTATTCGCTGCGCTGACGAGTCTGCCACTAAAGTCACGACTCCGCAAGTGAAGTTATAAAGAAACATTTTAGAATGTAGAATAGGAATGGTAATTAAAAAATCAAAAAATCTTTTCACTTGTGCGTCTATAAGAAAATATAAAGTTGATGATTGAGGACAAGAAAGGAAATGTCATATTCAAATCCCAATTAAGTCATCTTGTAGAAGAGAAAAAGTGACGATATTAAATTTATTTTGAAATCCTACGACAAAAAAATTTAAAAAAGGTTTTGAGAAAGTTCATTTTTCGTCTCCGAAAATATTCTGAGATTTTTTAAATGCCATTTTAACTTTCTTTGCCAAAACTGGCGAAAAATTTCGAAATTGAGATGTTATGTCTTTATATCAGCTGTATGACATGTACCATACATGTCTCTCATTTCCGTCGGTCCGTCTGTCCGTTAATTCTATAACCGCCTATAATTTGAGAAGTACCGCTCGGATTTTGATGAAATTTCCACACAATATTACTGCTTTGGAAAGAATAAAAAAGCTTTACAGTTTTTGGAAATCGGTCCAGTGGTGGCGAAGCTAGGAGCAAAAACCCGAGAAAAATAAAATTCACTGAAACTTCGTTTTTTGACGTTTTAAAGGGTCCTGATCATTTTGACAAAATTTATTGCAGGGGTTGAATCTGAGGGTTGTAAGGGGTGGGGGAGGGTATATGAAATTTTATTATTATTATTATACATAATAGAGGAGTTGAGCAAAAGCTATAAACTTCAAACAAAGATAAAGAATTGAACATAAAAAGTAATAAAGATAATGTCATAAGAAAACTAGAGTTCATCGTGCACCTATCTGAAGAAACGATTCTTGAACTTGTTAACTGTACCAGGTATAAAATAGATACTAGACAGGAAAAACAGCCGAGGTATAGTTCGAAACTTTTCTTTCTTGAGTTTATAGTTGTTAAAGTGATGATATGTCATTGCCGAACATATCATGCAAAGCTCTGTAAGTGATTATCAAGTCAACCACGTAAGCGTCTATCGGAGAAGTCAGTTGAACTGAATAGGTTCAGTCTCTCCTCGTAACAAGGTAGTTGGATACCATATGGGTGACGCGTAGCTCTCCATTGAAAACAACGCAGGTCCAGCGAATTCCACAATTGGCCTAATGTATGACGTGTACAGGAGTCCAGCAGTAGAACTGTCACAACCCTTGATTTCCTGGTTCCCGATGATGTAATCGATTTTTGGATTGTTTTTTCCAACGTGTAGAACCCAACACTTCTCCAAGTTCAGGGGCAGCTGCCATCTTCTGGACTATTCATAAACTTTGTCGAGGTCGCGTTGAAGGATGTTATCATTGTCACGAGGGATATTGTATATATTTGTGTCGTCCGCATACAAGGAGCAGGTGGAAGATATGACACAAGCCAGGTCCGATGTGTAGAGGGGAAACAGCAAAGGTCCCAAGACGGAACCCTGGGGACGCCGCTAGTCACCGCCCTACTAGTGAATCGCCTACTCTCACCCTGAACTCTCTGTCACTCCTCCTCTTCTTCAACAGATCTCCAGTTACTCCAAGTTGTCCTAGCTTGTAGAGAAGGTGTGCGTGTGGTGTGTTGTACTCGATCGAACGCTCTCGAAAAATATAGGTTTATTACATCTACAGGCATGTTAATATCTACCATATTAGCCCAATCGTTGACACATTTGAGCAGGTTTGCGATGATAGAGCGACCTGGCAAAAAACCATGTTGATTGGCTGGTAAGATATTATTTTCGGTACCAAACTTGAGCATTCCACCAGGTATGATTTTTTGGGCTACTTTAGCAATTATGGGAGTGAGACTGGTGGGACGATCGTTTTTTGCATTGTACTTATCATCTTTCTTGAAAATTGGCGTAACGGTTGCTTTAAGCCAGCATGGAGGTAGTGAATGAGAAGTGAACGAAGAGTTAAATATCATACTTACAGGTGAGGCAAGAGTATCGGCACACATTTGTAGGGTCATTGCTGGAATATTGTCAACGCCTGGAGCAGTACAGCAATCCATATTGATGAGATAATGTTCAATCACGCCAAGGGAGAATTCAATTTGACACAGGTCGGCACGTGGTCGAGGATACGTATCAGAAGATGTACCATCACTTTCCGGACAAAAGTCTTCAGCGAATGCGTTGACTAATACTTCTGCTGATGACTCAGCGTCCCTGTAGATGTGTCCATCTAGATCGCGCACTTTGGGTGTAAAAACTTCCAAGCTTAGCGAAGATCGAATATATCTGAATAGCTTTTTCTGTTCTTCGATGATACCAGCTTGTTTTCGAATTTACGTTTTGCAACAGTCTCCGAAAGTGTGTTGCAGAAGTTTCGTAGATTCATGTAGTCGGATTGCCTTTTGCGTTGCAGATATTTCTGACATAACGATTTTTTATGAAGTATCATCTTAAGGATATTGTGATCAATCCATGGTATGAGGGGATTGTACAGAATTCTTTGATTGAATGTTTTGTGAGCAGCACCTGAAGCCTTTCATGAAATAGATCCCACATGGCTGTCCATTGAATAAGGAATTCTAATCTGTGCCAAAGATGTCTGAATTTAGCTGTGTAGTTGATGCGTCTGATAGTCTTTTAGATTCTCGGGGTTTATTTAATTTAATTGTTTGTTGAATTGAAGGCTAGACTTCATAGTAAGGTGATCAGATTTGTCAAAATGAGGAAAGGACTCAATAGTTGACACAAAATCAGCAACACTAACAAATATGAGGTCAAGGGATATTGGTATCTGATCATTTCTGTAGCGTGTAGAACAATCTACGAGCTGCATAATGCTTGAGTTACGCAAGAGGTCTAAAAAGGGACAGATACAGAATTTGGTATGCTTAACTAAGGCCAGGAAACGCGAAGATTAAAATCACCAGTTCTGTACAAGTTATTTGCTTGTGTGGTGAGATTTGCGATGTAACTGCACAAGTCTGAATCAGCAACAGTTGGACGTAGTCTGTAAATGCAGCCCCTGATTATGTTGAATCTGTCATTCTCAATTTTGAGGAAGAAATTGTCAATACTACGAAGAACTGAGAAACTTGATAATATTTCACGCTTCACACAGATGCATACACCGCAATATTCTAGTGTTAGGGTGGAATCCATTTTAAAAACATTATGATCTGGAATGTTTATCGTTGAATCACTAATATCGTGATGAAGAAATGTTTCGGTAACAGATAAAT